AGCTTGAAAGGTCCCTTCTAGCCCAAACCATTGAACGAGTCAAATCGACGACTCCCCCGAGGAAGCAGAGCTGCCAGCATGCTCAGGGCTGGCAAACAGCACCCTGTCCCTGTCTGGGGCCACGCGCCACTGGAGACAGCGTCCCGAGGCACGCCCTGCCTCTCGCCCAGCTTCGGAGCCCCCTTGCCCTTGGGTTGCTGCAGGTGGGCTCTCTTCACTTTTCTGGGCTCATTCACCCAGACGCTGCAACCTACCCTGCAAGCCACTCTCCAGGAGGTACCAGCCCAGGCCGGGCATGGTGGGACCAGAAAAGAAAGGTCAGCATGGTAGGACTGCTCTCCTGGTCCACCAGGATAACCCTTGGGATGTTTGGCGCAACCCCTCCTCACCTCCCTTTCTGCCTCCTCGTGGTATCTGGCTGTTTCCAGGAGCTCCTGGAGCTGCTTCTGCACGAGGTCTTTGCTGGCGCACGCCCCAAGCGTCGTTCCGATGCATTTATACAGGAAGTTCTGGAAGAGCAAGAGGAACATTACCACCCCGTGAAACCCTGCCGAGCCCCCAGAGGCAGACTGAGCTTGGTCACGCACGGATCGCTCCTCGCGGCACGCTGGAGGCTCGTGCCCTAAAGCAAAGGTGCAGGTCAGAGCCCAGCCGTAAGCAGCTGGGACGCTCGGAGCACCGGGGCGCACTGGGACAGAGCGGCCTTCGGCCCGAGGAAGAGCCTCCCCACCAAGGCGCGCTCTGCTAAGCCTGACCAGCAGCTCAGCATCAGACTACGCCGTTAACCCCTGAAGGGCACTGAGCCAACTGCACCCACCGGCGCCAGGAACACTCATAACAAAACCCTTGTTCCTGCCCAGAGAGAAACCAAGTCACCGCGACAGAGGGAGCACAAATACAGATTTTTTCACAGATGCCTCCACAGCCCCCGGTGACCAGCCAAGCCGGGCTCAACTCCGACTGCTCCTACACCCCTGCAGAAGCACCAAGTCCTTCAGCCTGCACACGGGAGACCTCTTCCCTCCCGACCCACCACAGCAAGACCTTCCTTGTCCTCTGCCCTCGCCAGCCTGGAGGTTAGTACTCGCAGCACACCCCTGCGCCGGCACAGTCGGAAACGGGGTCATTCGGTTCCTGCTCTTCTGCCTCGGAGAGCTCAGGCTCAGCTCGCTTCTCACCCAGCTTAATTACAGACCCGTTCACAGCAGATGTAACGCAAGCTGTGGAGATCACGAGTTGGGTCTCACCGGCACAGGCAGAGCCACGCAGCCTGGCCAGGACCTCTCGAGCCAGCGATTTGGCTCTGGACTGATCAGTCTTTCGTTTTCAAGCCCACCCAGCCACCTCACTAACCTCCTGCTACTTCTTCTTCCCTCCTAACGCCCCTTTCCCAGCGCCAAGCTGTTGATAGAACGATTTGAGGGCTGGACGGGTCCTGCCCCTGCTGACACGCTGCGGCAGGACG